CAGACAGCAGGTGTGCTTCATCTGCTGCTCCTTAACTCCACCCAGTCCTGGATCTACCAGCAATCATTTCTAATTTAAGACCTTTGATGCATCTCACCTCGAAGCAGGAAGGGTTTATCACCATCAGGTCTTAAAAAGTAAATTAAATCAAATAAACAGCAGCTGAGAGGATAACACTGATGCATCGATGGAGTTTATGAGCTTTAATTAATGAGGAAACCACATTAAAATCTGCGTCAAGTAATTTAAAAAAGAGATGAAACATTTTTAACCAGTAATGGGAGAAACTAAAGCTAAAGGAACTAACAAAACTTAAATATTACAGTAAAATTATGCTAATTAATGCTGAAGAGTTTGTTTTTCATAAAAACTAAAGTTAAAACTGAGGTGAATAAAGTACCAAAAATTTACTCACATAAGAGAAGCACCACTTCAACATATTTTTACTCCAGTAAAAGTAAAAGTCCAAGAAATTGCTAGAGTAAAAAAAAGTATTTAGTAAAAACTCTACTGAAGTACACAATTATAAAGTTGAGTGAAAGTTTTGATATTTAAAAGGACCAGAAATGACAACAAAAAAATAAAAATAAACTCTGGCAAAAAAAAAAAAAGTTTCCAAATCAGTTTCTTTCATTGTAAAACTTCTGAAACTTTAATAAAAGCTGCAGCTGTGTGTCTGTGTCTGGTGAGTTTTTGGTTAAAACATGTTTGTTTTTCATTTAGTGGGTAGAAAATTCAAAAATTTACTCAAGTAAAAGAAGAAATACTTCATAATATAATTACTCAAGTAGATGTAGAGTTGAGTAATAACTAGTTACATCTTTTCGATTACATTTATTTGAGCAACTTTTGAAAAAAAAAATTTAGGAGCCTTTTTACTACACTACTTTTTACTTTAATGATTTTATTGAAGTATCTCTGTTCTCATTTGAGTAAATTTTCTGGATTTTCTACCCACTGAAGAAAAGAAAAAACAGGTTTTAACCAAAATCTCGCCAGACACAGAGACACACCTGCAGTTGTTAAAGTTTCCTAAGTTTTTTTTAATTATTATTCAAAGAAACCGATTTGGAAACATTTTCTTTTGCCTGATTTTGTTATTTTTTGACATATGAATTACTGTTATTTTGGTCCTTAAAATATCAAAATGTTCACTAAGCTTTATATTTTGGCCCATTGTCTGATTATGTAATATTAAATTATCGATAATTGATCCGTTACTCAGTAAACTACTTGTGTAAACTTTTTTGCCAAGTAATGTTTTACTTGAGGAATTTCTCTACTTGAGTAAAAATAAGTTGAAGTAAAGCTACTTTTACAACCCAAACTCTGGTTAAACATGAGGAAAGTTAACTTCCAGCCCCTCCCTCCCCTCCGGCTCTCCAGCCACCGGGGCTCCGCCAGCTTCCACCCCGCCCAGGCCGCTCCGTTCTCGGTCACTCACCGATGGAGACCAGCTTGATGTTCTCCCGCTCCAGGAACTCCAGCGCAACCGACACGTTCTCCAGCTTCATCTGCCTGAAGTTGGGCCTCGGGTGGTACTTTCGGTACATTTTCTTCTGGCTCAGGACCTCCAGCAGGGCGATGAGCCGCAGGCCGTCCCCCAGGTCCAGCTGCAGGTCCACGATCCGCTTGTTGACGCACTTCAGGTGCTCGTTGATCCAGCGGGTGAAGGTGTTCTGCTGGATCTTCTTCCACGGAGCGTCCTCCGCCAGGTCCTTCTCTGTGGCCGGCATGTCGTTTTCTTCTTTCCCCCCGCCCGGTGGGTTCGGTTCTGGTTCTGGTTGTGGTTGAAGTGTGAGTGAAGCCAGAGGTGTTTCCTCGGAGCCGCCGCAACTTGGTTTGAAGTCTTTGCCTCAATTCGGCCAGACTATACGGCTGCTGCTGCTGCGTTCACTGCGGCTCGGAAATTACAACTTCCTCTGACTCACCCAGATTTCTGTTACTTCATGGACATGTCACTTTCTCAGTTTGACATTAGAATACACCTTATTATAATATTAAAACTAACACTGAATTGATTTTTAGCATTTTGCAAGAATGAATGAATCAATTCTTTTGCAACAAATATACTCTTTTATATTTGATGTTTTTCCTTAATTATTCAATTCAGTTAAAATAAAATTTAAAAATGGAAAATATATCGAAGTTGTAGAGGTAAATGAACTAACACAAAAACAATACAATATAAAATGTGTATTGACATTTTAGTGTATAAAATTATAAATTCAAAATTGTCTTTGTAAACTTTGAAATGACTTTTGACTTAAGATTTAATTTCCCTTTAGGATTAATAAAGAATTTTTGATTTTTGAATTGCTCTAAAACAAGACATCTCATGTTTTATGTCAAAATTAACTTTGTAACTAACCTACACCACTATAACACACTTTTTAATTATTTCATAAAATTACAAATGTGTCAAATTAAACATTTATATATAAAAGTGTTTGAGTGCCAACATCCACCTAGGTTGAAATGTATTTTTTGTTTTTGCTTCTTCCTATTTACTTTTGTGAGTAATAGTATAATAGAGAATTCAGGAGTATTATCAGCATAAAACATTTTAAAATGTGGGTAACACTTTATTTGAAGGGGGGTGAATAAGACTGTCATGACACTGTCATAAACATGACATAACACCTGTCATGTACACCAATAAGCCTTCATGAATATTTATGACTGTTGTCATAAAGCGTCATTCGGTAAATTATGACACTTTTAATACAAAGTTGACATTATTCAAAATGCCTTTGTTATGACAACTTGTCATTAACCAAGAAATCATTATTGATATAAATTTGTTATAAAATAATTACTGATTTCACTTTAAAAATTAGGTAACTTTATGTTATTAAAGGTAAAGTTTGAACAGTAATGATTTCTTGGTTAATGTCAAGTTGTCATAACAAAGACATTTTGAATAATGTCAACTTTGTATTAAAAGTGTCATAATTTACCGAATGACACTTTATGACAACAGTCATAAATATTCATGAAGGCTTATTCATGTTCATGACAGGTGTTATGTCATGTTTATGAAAGTGTCATGACAGTCTTATTCACCCCCTTCAAATAAAGTGTTACCAAAATGTGTTCTGATTGAAAATTTAATATGAAGCTTCATCACTGGAAAGGGGAAAAAACAAAACAAAAAGTCCATAAAGGCAAATTTTGCTTCAGTTTAAAAGAAGAAAAACCCCAGACTGAGTCATTATTGACCATCAATCTGCCTGGTTTCCTGTTTCTGCTGTTTCAGGCCCAGCAGATCAATAAAGTTTGATCTGATTGGCTTCGATCGATTCAGAACCAGATGAAGGTTCTGCCTCCTCATCACATTCAGTTAAATCAGCACTTCTGAGACAAATTAAAGTCAAAATGGAGTTTATACTGAAACCCCAGGAAGGGAAAACAGCAGAGAGAAAGAAAAGTTTGATTTTATTAATAAATATAAGCTTGATCATATTAATAAAAAAGAGGGAGCTGTTTATTTTTTAGAGAGTTTGATTTTTATAAGAAAGAGAACAATTTGGTTTATCAAAAATATAATAAAAATGTTTTAAGAAAAACATTGGGAACCGTTTGATTTTATTTAAGAAAAGAGGACAGCTTGGTTTTATTAAAAAGGTTTTTTTTTTCTTTTAATCAAAAAATAAAAATTAGTATTTAAAGAGAGGGAACTGTTTGACTTAATATTTTTTTTAAAAAGAGAAGTTTGATTTAGTTTGGTCTCAAGAGGATCAGTTTGACTTTATTAAGCTAAATGACAGAAAAGTTTGGTTTTATTAGGAAGAGAGAAGAGTTTGTTGTAAATAAAAAGAAGAGTTTGGTTTTATAAACCAGAACATGTTTTTATAGGGCTGACGTATTCCCTTTGTGCCGGCAGACGTAGGTTTATTGATGCGTCATCTCTAAATCCCGACATGTTTCAGCCGTCTCGTAAAGACGGATCCTCCTCCGGCTCCATGATTGATGCCGGATTGCCGTGCCGAGACGCCCGGGGAACAGGCGAGGACTCGGGTCTGGACCCGTCTCCTGTTCGGGTCTTCACCCGGTCTGCACTGTAAAAACTGAACGTCTCAGAGACTCTTTGTCCTTCGCTCATCAGTTTAAGAAACAGCCGAAGAAGAAAACAGAAACCCAAATTCACCAGGTTTCTGACTTCAGATAAAACTTTTCCACAAAACTGAGAAACCTGTTAAATTTTTATTAATTTAAAAAACACATTAAAACTCACTGGTTGCTGCCTTACAGAAGGAGAAAGAAAACTTTGACTAAACCATTGTAGCTCCATTCTTTTTTCAGGCGTTTTGCTGAAAATATGCTGCCATGTTTACCATTTAATTTAGGATATTTGTCCAAATATAGTAAATTATTTGGTACAATTCAATTATTAAATGTGACTTGAAAGGGACATTTAGTCATCGTGCTGCAAAAACGAGTTTCTAGAGCAAATATCTCCACAAAACTAACTTATGATTACATTTTCAGCAAGATAGAGGAGTTTGCTTTCAGCAAATAAATCTTCAATATTGATTAAATAGAAAAGGCAGATTATTACACTTAAAAATGTGTTATAACGGAAATAATCTACCAGTGGAACTAGTACGTTAAAAAAATTTAAGGAGTTATTTACTGAAAAGAAGCTTTATTAGATGGCTGAAAAGTTATTTGTAAGTTATCCAGTAACAGTCAGTCTTACAGCAAATCACGAGAGGCCTCTGACTGAAGACAGTCTCATTCTAACTGGTTTTAGTCCAAATCATGACTCTACCACTGCCGTGCTTCACAGTAGGTAAACAACCAAATATTTAATTTGGCCAATTATTCATTTAAAAATCATACAAAGTGATTTTTTTAAGATTGCTGCTTTCGATGCACTTTGAAATCTGGACTTTGGTTTTGAGCTTCAACAGAAAAGTTAACCTTGTTTTTGGAAACATTTCCAGTGAAAACACTCGTCTCAGTAAGTAAGAAGTGATTAAAGAGGCTGCAGGCAGGTTTGGTGGGTCAGCTTTGCTACAACTTTAATCCAAAAACATTTCTCTGCATATATTCAATAACATTTCTCTACAACAGCTCTCACCTCTCATAACTCTAAACAATCTCAACAAAATAAGTCTAGTCGCACGTCATTCATCAACCTTTTATTTTACAATTCTCTCTGTAACTTTAGTGTTTTTTCTTCAAACATCAGGAATATTTGTTCGCTGTCTTTTATTATTATTTATTAATTATTATTTGAATCGACACGGAGACGAGACAGATTAACACGGACGATGACGAACGTTGCCCAACGTGTGAACCGACACCCACCCACAGAGCTCGTTACTGTTGAAGAATAAAAAACAAACGTTCAGAGGCCCGGGCGCTACGAGTCGGCGGCCATGTTTGCTGCTTGTGACGCGTCTGGATGTGTTAAAAAAACAAAACCAGACGTTACGATTTGGTCTCAAACTGTCATAATTACGTTTATTTCTCTAATCCGACTTGAAAGTTAAATTTTCTCTAGAAAAACCATAGCAGGAAGCATTTTTTCAACGTTTTTGCTTTTGCTCAAATGTGACCAAAACTTTCTCGTTCTCTGATAAATTATGATCATCATGAAGATTTTCTGCTTTATTTGCCGAAATGATGACATCACAGCCCGACTCTCAGCACCGACGGGCCTCTGGTGGTCAAAATGTGTTTTTCTCTGCACACAAACTGCGGTGTTTGTTAGTAACATCAGAGGCACTTAAACCCCCCCGATTCCTGCGCCCCCTAAAAACAAACTAAAAACCAAAACAGAAAAGTAAAAAATATTAATCTGAATTTCAACAATTTGGCTTCAAGTTTTAACCCCAAATTTCCCAGAAGAAGAACAAAAACGTGGCGCCTCGGTGTGAACGCTGTCCAGTGGATTGTATTCCAGGCTGGTAGTGTTAACTGCTGAAGGAAATAACCAAACGTGGAATCATCTGCTCCAAAAACAAGAAAACAAAAACAGGAAATCTCTTCTTTTTTTGGAGTAAATGATGTAGACTTTTGATATAAATATCTGTAAATGTTTCAGTAGAGAAAAAAAACTTGAGCTGAAAGGTTTCACCTTCGGCGCTTCGTCACCCAGAGAGACCCGACCAGAAGTCAGAGAATAAAAATGACAGAACTCCAAAAAAATAAACCAGGAAGTATCCGAGTCCTCTGCAGGAAACACGACCTCCACGTTCCCTCTACAATTATGTACAATCTTTCTTTCTTTCGTTTTTTGTGTTTGTTTTTGCTTTTTTTACACAAAGCGTCGCCGCGGCAGCGTCTCAGGTGGCGCTGCTCTTGGACAGGTTGGGGTAAAGGACGGCTGCCGTCACGGCGACCATCACTGCGATGACCGGCATCCAGGGGCTCCAGCCGCTCTGTCAGGGGAAAAAAATAAAAAAACGGACCAAACCCGGTTAGTCAGCAGAACCGGACCCAACATGAACCAAAGAGAGCGTCAGAAATCACCCTGAAGGATGAAAGAAGAGATAAAAGTCAGTCCAAAAGATGATGTTTATTCTCTTTTTAAATTAAAAAACATCTTTTCAACGGGACCTGGAGCGGTACCGGGTCACAGTCCAGCTCATTTCACTCTAATTCAGGGGAGTCCAAACTTTCTGTCCAAAAAAACAAAAACACTAAAATCAAGCAAATAAAAATCATCCAGCTTTTTGTAGCAAGAACCGAAAACAAAACTTAAAAAGGATTTTTGCACATTTGAGGTATAAAAGAAAATCTAGTTTCCAAATTCTTTTGGACTTGATTGAACACATTTATAATCAGAACTCAGAAGAAATGAGGGATAAATCAGGGGTGTCCAAAGGGTGGCCCGTGGGCCAATTTAGGCACCTGAAATGATTTGTTTATGCCGTCAACCAGAAGTCAAGAATGGCAAAAATTTGGCAGCGACTGATGACTCGAAAATTTCTTTTAAATTTACAGTTTTTATTTGATGGATTTTGAGGCCCTAAATGTTCCAGTTTGGACCCCGGTTCTGTAAACAGAACCACGTCTGTTTGGTGGCTGTGATTCTCACAGACGCAGTTTTTCTACTTGTGTTGATAAACAGCGAATCTGTTGGGAGTTTTTCTGTAGTTTGAGGCTAAACTGAAATAATTTCAGGACCTTGAAAAGCTGAAAAGGGGCTGGACTTTCTGCTCTGTGCTAGGCCTGTGGCAATAAATCAATTAATCACAAACAAACTCAATTTCCATTTGCCTGATTTATCGTTTCTCTCCGTCTAATAAAAACTGGATGACAAAAGTCCTGATTCTGGTGCTTTGGTCTCAGCCAGCCCTTATCCTGAAGGTCACTGTTACAGAAACTCCAAGGTTCAATCTTATTTGTTTATTTATTCTGGATAATTAAAATGTCTTCCAGTTCCAGCGTCAAACGTTCCTTAGACTTTAAAGATCTTTGCGAATGTGTTCTTGTCATTACATTACTTGGAAAATGGCTCCAAAACAACAAGATTTTGTTGTTTTTGCAATAATTTCTGGGACAATTTATCATCCAGCAAAACGTGTTATGGTGGCAGGCCTGTTTGAGCTGATTTAATGATCATTTAGAACTTAAATAATACTAAACATGTTCTCTCCTTCTGCTGACACGAGAACTGAAGCGAATAAAGCTGTCAGAAATAAAATGTCTCCATCAGCTGCAGGTATCTGCTGTCCCGGTTGGACCTGATCCACATCCTCGTTTCCTTTCCTGCGGGTTTGAACTCCTAAACACGTTGAATTTTCTCCATCTTCTCCTCCACATTTCTTTCATAAAAATCTGTCCGCGCCTCGGCACCGTCCAGGTCCAGCTCGTTTATCACAGATACCTGAACGCGGTTCAAGACCGAGTCAACCTTTCAATTCTCCTGTCATCTTTTCAAACGCACAACAGATGTGCAGCTGCTGAGAACAGGCAGTGCTCTGCAAACATTGTGACATGAAGGAAAGGCTTATTAATGAGATCTTCCCCTCAGATGGTTAAGAAGGAGGAGGAATGCAAATAAATTCAATCAAAACAACCTAAACGTTCAAAAAGGAAAACCATATTTATCACTTTTGGGACTGCAGGAGACAAAAAGAAGAAATAATTAAAGAACAGAAGCATAAAAAGAGAAAGCTGCACCAAATAAAAACAAAAAGCAAACGATGGGAGTGAAAATGAATCTGCCAATGGCTGCAGGAAACAAAACCCAGTGAATCAGTTTGAGAGCAAAACGAAAAAACCTGCAAACAAACAGACAGGAGCAAACGTCATGCAGCAAACCAAAGAAAAGTGATTAATGAGCCGACAAATCCTGCAGAAAATAACAACAGGATGAAGGAGAGAGCCGTGGTGAACGAGGAGCTGTTAGTAATTTAAAGAGATACCAGGAGTTTGGCCTCATCGTGTCTGGACTTTGACTGGACCATTAATAACCAGATTATCATCAATACAATAAAAAAACAGTTCAGTCTTAATGTGAAGGATGTTTCCTTTAGCAACGTTTCATGATTAAATTCACTAAAATCTGAGAAGATTCCACAATGAAATCATTTCTAACTCAGACTTTTATTTTGAAAAGTGTTACATACTCAGACAGTTTATATTATGTAAAATGTGCCTTAATTTTAGTCATTTTATTGAGGTTAAAGTAGCTTTTACAGTGCGGTATCCCTTTAAATAAGCGGTCCATGTGTGCTGGGAGTCTGCTGCCCCCTGGAGGATCTTAGTGTGAATGACGGCCATGCGGTCAGAGCTGCTCACACATGATGAAGATGAAGAAGAGGACAGTCAGTCCTCACAGGAAGTTCAGGAGGTGAAGTCAAAGTCCTGCTGATCTCTGCTCAGGGTTCGATTTTCCCAGCCGACTCAGTGACCCTGAAGTATACGTGTTTGCTAGGCTAGTTTACGCACGATACATCGATAAATTATCGCATCGGTCCGATAAACGACCAATGTTTATTTGTTGTATTAATAGGCACCATGTAATTTTCAGTGAAACAATAATTGTTGTTATATATGCACGTTTGTTATCATGCTTTCTCGGATTTGCTTAGACTTTTCTCTCTTTCTGCAGGTGAAGGAGCTGAAATGAACTGTTGACTTGTTTCTGCCAAGCAACTTTCTCTTTGTCTCTGTCCATTAAATCTGAAATAAACACAAAGTAAATTCAAATAATGTAGTGCAGTAAATAGATTAAAGCATTTCATCAGATTAATCACACTGTGATTAATCACTATGCCCAAGTTTATAAGCCTAAAATATAAATTGGCAGTCGTGGTTCTGCAAAAGTATAAAATAAAAATAAAAATATTTATTGGGGGAAAGAAGTCAGTTTTTTTTTTTTTTTTTTTTTTGGTGGCCCTAATCCTCTTCCATACGATGCTTTGTGGAGGAAAAAGTGATGATAAACATCTGATCATTGAAATGTTGCGATCGGATTGACCTGTGAGCCTGAACTGATCCCAGATCAGAACAATAACTTCACCTCAGCAGACTTTCCTTCCAGAGGTCACAGACAGACAGATGGACAGATGGAGGCAGCGGGACAGACTCATGTCATGTCGGTGTGTACCTTTCTACCACAACTGGCCGAAACACCAGTACAGCAGAGCCAGGACAAGGCCCATGAATATGGCTTGGACAGGCTGCAATATGGATGGCTAGAGGGAGGAAGGGAGGGATAAGAAGAAATCAGCCAGCAAATCAACCAAACAAAACAACATGGAGGATGGAGCAGCTGCAGCGGGGCAGGAGGGGCAACAGAGGAGGGAGGGTGGAGGAGAGTCGGTTCATCCTACAGAGCTGCTGTTTACGATCCGAAACACCAGAGGAAATCAGCCGACATGAACAAATATAAACAAACTGGCTCTCGTTTTATTTAATTCTGCTGAAAGAACTTAAATTTAATCTAATTCTGGCCACATTATTTGACTTCAGGCATTTCCAGTGTCTGTTAAGGAGTTGAATTTATTAAAAATGTTTTTCATCCTCAGCAGAAGAAGAAACCTTTCTGCATACTAAGGTACACTGGCCATTTTTAAACAATTCAATTAATAATGATATGACAGTTTAACTTCCTTATTCATGCAAGACTAGTCAGAATTCAGCCGTCATTTATGTAAACCTAACATCTGAAATGTCACTTTCCTGTTTCTCAAAACAAAGAGCTGCATACTAAACCCGAGCTAAAACGGTTTGTTACGTTGCCTTATGTTGTACATTTACCAGTTTTATCATGGCATTTTGCAGTAGTACTGTGATAAAAACTATTTATTACATTTAAGGTAACTGTGTGTCACAGCAATTAAAGCCCCCAAAACACAAATAAACATTCCTATTTATAAAGTGCGATTTAAATCACACAAGGTAACTGTATTTCCAAATTTATTGATCAGTATTTATTGATGCTTTCATTGAACAAGTAAAACTACAATCTATAGGAATTTATTGTCAAAACGAAAAATCTAAATTCTTATGACATGAAATGTATCACGATAAACGATACGATAAGTCCCCAAATATATCATTGATTAAATAATTTTTATAGTTTAGTTTCTTTGGCAACCCTACTTTAGAGCTCAGTGTTGCATAAAGACAGCGAGACGATAATCAGCTGGAAAGGAGGAAGAGGAACAGGAGGAGAAGAAGAAGCTGCTCCGCCTCACTGAATGAACTTTAGATCATAAAAACAATTCAACATGTTGCTCATAAATCAGCTCCGGAAAATAAAAACAACAAAACAAAGTGGTGAGCTGAAAGAGGGAGGATGGATTTTATTTATTCTTGATGAAAATAAGCAGCTAAACAAAGTTTTAAACATTTCCTGACAGTTGGGTAGTAACTAGTCACACTTACCCGAGTAATTGTTTTGAAAAATAAAATTACATTTAGGAGTATTTCTACTACGCTGTACTTTTTACTTGAGTAATTTTATTAAAGTATTTCTACTCTTGAGTAAAATTTCTGGATTTTCTACCCACTGAATGAGAAGCATATTTTAACCATAAATCCACCGGACAGACACAGACCTGCAGGTTTTGTTAGTTTCATATTTTTACATTGAAAAAAATCTGATTTGGAAACTTTTTTTTTTTTTTGCCTGATTTTGTTACTTATATGAATTTTTGTCATTTTCATCCTTAAAATACTAAAATCTCCACTTAATTTTATATTTTGGTCTGTTGATGTAATTTAAAAAAATTAAATGATTGATAATTTGATCAGCACTCGAGTAAATTTTTTACCAAATACTTTTCTACTCTTACCTGAGTAATTTCTGGGACGGCTACGTTTTACTTTTACTTGAGTAAACATGTTGAAGTGGTTCTACTCTTACGTGAGAATATTTATTTGTATCGATCTGAGCTGGGAGTGAAAATCCTGCAACCGAACGGCTGATTTTATTTCTGTTTGGACTCACAGAGCTGGTCTTGTCCTGCAGCAGCTTCAGGCTGCTGCGGCACTGCTCCAGCTCCTGGTGGATGTTCAGCTTCTCCTGCTCCGTCTTCTCGTAGCGCCGCCGCAGGTCAAACAGCTGAGACTGAGTGTCTTCATACTGGAGAGAGAGAGCAGACCTGCGTCACTTCCTGTCTGCAAACCGCCGTGGCGAACGGCGGATCGGTGGCGAACCTCTTTCTGCAGGGTGTGTGTTCGGGCCTGGGCCTGGTCCAGCTGCGTCTTCAGCCTGCTGGCGTCTTCCAGGTGCTGGTTCTCCAGAGAACCCAGTTTGTCCTGCAGAACCTCTTTCCGCTTCTCCAGAGACTCCAGACTGTTGCTGAGGACCAGACTCTGCTCCCTGGTGCTGGAAACGACACGAAACGGCACATTCAGGTCCAGAACAGGAACACAAGAGACCCGGTAACCCACCATCAGAACCAGACATTAAAAGGCTGTAAGCATTTCATATCAGTTGATATCAATAACTATTGATCAGCTTTTGGTGTTCAACCCTGCCAAACTGGAGTTGTGACCTTTCCTGTTTGATCAACAGTTTTCACTCCACTAAGTTGTTTTTTAAGCAGTTATGAGGGAAAACCTTAAACTGCTGCTGCACCAGTTACTCAACATGCTGTTGCCAGGTAACCAAAGAGTGAGTGAGTTGCTAGGTAACCAAAGGTTAAGTGAGAGTTGATGGCACCGACCTAGCTTACCTGGCCGTGAGAGGTTGTATGGCTAAAGCCTTTCCTCTGCCTGCATCTCCCAGAATGCTTTGCGGTTCTGGATCGGAGTTCAGTGAAATTATTGCATATTGGACGTATTGTGCAGAGGTAATTTAGAACCCCACACTGCAAAAACACAAAATCTTACCAAGTGTTTTTGGTTTAGTTTCTGGTGCAAAGATCTTAAGATATGGAAAATAAGACAAAACTAAGTTACAAGTAACTTCTCAGCAAGATTTAAGAGCTTGTTTAGCATCAATAATTCCTTAAAAAAGTTCTAGCCTTAAGGGCAGATTATTTCACCTATAAAAACATTTTTCATACAAGTGAAATAATCTGCAAGTGGAACTAGTATTTTTTCATCAATATTAAGGAATTACTGATTTAAAAAAAGCTCCTATCCTGCTGAAAAGTCACTTCAGAGTTAGTTTTGTCCCACATCAAATGTACTAAAGTACTGCGCTAGAAACTAAAGATTCTTGGTGATATTTAGTGTTTTTTAGTGAGGGACACAATGTGAGATGGGATTTTTTCCCTCAACTATCCTCATATTATTATTCAGAAACATCAGCTCTTTATTTTTTGCATATGAAATAAAAAGGCCAAATTTCAAAAAGTCACGACTGAATCATTGTTTTATTTCATCATTTTGTGCTTTAATAAGAGCGCAGCTCTTTCTACAGACGTTGACTGGACTTTGTGTTGGTACCTGCTGAGCTCCGCCTCCAGGTGCTGCAGTTTGTCCGTCAGGTCTCTCCGCTCAGCTCTCAGACCGTCACAGTCCTGCTGCAGAGATGCACAGCGCTGCTGCAAAGCTGCACACTCCTCTGGAAGAGAGAGCAGAGAACAGCCGTGAAGCTTTCCGCGGCGCAGCCGGATGTCGACGCGGACGCAGGCGCCACCTTGCAGCTGGCTGGCCGTGTTCTGCTGCTGCTGCTGCTGAGCAAAGGCCTCCTGCAGCCGGCTGATCTCCTCCTCGTACTTGGCCGCAGTGCTCCTCCAGTGCTCCAGCTCCGTGCGCACGCCGCCCAGGTCCGCCTGCAGGGCGGCGATCTCGCGCTCACGCTCGGCTGTGGCCGTTTCCATGGTGTGTCGTAGGACGATAATCTGAGCCGAAACAGAACCAGGGTGAGTGGATCTACCAAGATCCACCAAGGCAAATTCAAGACTGTTTAGACCTTCCTGGATGAAATTTAAGACCTGAATCCAACGTCGTCTGACCAACCGGCGATAAATTTACACCTAGCCCATTATAGACTATTGTTAAAAATTTTGCACATGTGCACAACGGTGGAGGATAAAAGGACGACTCTTTTGCATGCCGTTCGTAGCGGCGCTGCAGCGGCAGAACAACTCCGTTAGCTAAATGAAACCCGGACATGTTGGCATTAACTGAGTGCAGTTAAAGATCAACTCCAAATAATTTGTTTTTTTTCCCACTCTGTATCGGCTATGCTACAAAAGACTTGTCGCCATAGCAACTGAAACAATGCTGCTATATACAGTATATCAGGAATCAACCCCCAAAAAACACTCAAACATTTCTCACACAAAAACAGAAAATTCAGTCCATTACAGTTTTATGTATTTAGGCCTAATGTTTATTTTGCGATTATTAATAAGTGATCGCTGTGGTAGATTAGCTACTGCTGCTATTAGCTAATCTAGCAGTGTGGTGGTTGATTAGCTAATTTAAACACCTGCTCTACTGAGGATCTGTCAGAGTTATAGCTAGCATGGGCTTATTAGCAGCTAGTTAGCGGTAGCTGCAACCGCTTCGAGTCACAGAACGCAATGAAGACGTTCTCAAAGTTTTACATGACAATAAGGTCCTGTGAGAGATAAAAAAATTAATTCGGAATGTCGGAGATTACTTTGGAAGACAAATTTTTGACAAAAATAATGTTAGATGACAGGAAGCCATGCAGAGATAGACACATTTTGAAAGTTTTGTGTTGTGTGAACTTTTAGTTTTCAGGCGGTGCAGCGGTACCTCCTCCTGGGCGGAGTACAGATCCTCCCTGGTGCTGCAGATGGTGCTCTCCCTCTGCTCCCTCAGGGCCTCCATGTCGGCCTGCAGCTTCCCGAGCTGAGCTGCACCACACAGAGCCAGGGGACAGGTTAGACCCAGACCCGTCCGCCGCATGTTCTCCTAATGCGCGTACTCACTCTGCAGGTACTGGATCTGTTTGGTCGACTCCTCGGTCAGCTTGGAGTTACTCCTCCTCTCCTCCTCCAGCAGAGCTGCAGACACTCGACATTAAAGCACGAAGAGCCAGGAGACGTCCGTCTGACCAGTCAGAGGGAATCTACCTTGTAGTTCCAGACATTTCTGCTTCCCGGTGTTGGCCAGGTCCTGGGCTTCCAGAAGTTCCCTGTGGAGGTAGCTGATGACGTTCTCCGTGTCTCCAACGTCCAGACCGGCTCGGTTCAACTCCGCTAAAAACACAAAACCGTTCAAAGCAACGCAACTAACAGTTTAATCAATTAATCACAATTAATCACTAAAGCACAATAACAGACATGTAAAAAGCAACATTTCCATTAAAACATTTTCAGACTCAAATCTTCCACCACTCTCTGGACATTTAAGTTTAAACCGCCAGCCGCTAGCCGGGTCCGTTTGGCTCTGCAGACAGCCGGAAATCTAAAACATTTCTGCAAATCAGTTGACTAAACTACAAGGTTATGTTCACTTTTCCTTCAGGCACTTTTCAAGCAATTTCAAAGTAAAAACTTTTCCAGAACTACGTTGGAGATGAAAACAATTCAAACAAACTACAGAAAACATAATTTATTATCGTTATTAATAATGTCGTGTGACAGTCTTCTAGGCACAAGGTTAACTAAAATATAGCAAGAAATTATGTCTGAATTTCTTTATTTTAACTCCACAACGAGGAAAAAGATGCATCCTTATTTATTAGGTGTATGTAAGTGGGAGGTGAGGCAGTTTAGTTTATTACTAAACTGTGTTTGATCTCAAAGACTTTCAGGGACTTCATACAGAAATCAAGTACTTTACAAATCTGTCAGTTCTGCGTAAACTAGAACCACAGCTGGAGTTAAAGCTGATCCAGGAGGCCTAAAAGGCAGCCAAACAGCTTATAAGTTTTTTAAAATCATCATCCATAACTCAAAAAAAAAAAAAAAAATCAGGATGAGTCATTTTTTGATGTGGAAAATCAAAAGGTACATTTAGGTGAAAAACGGTAAATAAATCACTATTTTCGTTTTATTTGTATTATTTAGAAAACTGAATAAAGTCTGAAAACTGTTTTCTTTTCTGCCCCAAACCTCCAAGCGTTACCTTTGAGGAGAGCGACTCTGTTCTGGGGTTCGTTCAGCTCCTGGTCGTTCATGTTGCCGTCTGAAACCAGCAAACAGGACATGAAGCTAAATAAAAACACTTATGAGGTGGAATCAAAACGATTCACATTAAAAGCTCAGAGTTGCTCAGAGAGGCAGAAGCTTGGAAACCGCAGCTTAGAGGAGGAGCTGCACCTCGGAGGCGGAGCTAGGTCCAACCGGGCGTTCTGCTCAGCTGAATGGTTGCCATGGAGACTAAAGGATTTCTCAAACATGCATGAAAGAATCAAGGCAACACTCCGGGTTTGTTTTTGATGAGGGAATCGCATTATAACATGATGGAGAGCTACAAAACAAAAGTCAATGTGACATAATTCTGCCTCTTTAAAAATGAAACTCCTCTTCCTGATCTCTGCTGACCTGACGTGTCGTCGCTGCTCCGGTCTTTGCTGGGACTGAGCGTGTCGGACATGTCGGACTCTTTGGCATCCATCTGGTTGCCTGTTGGGAGCAGAACGTGAGCAGACTGAGCGCGCTCAGGTGACGTCGTTAAAGGTGCGTCGTGTCAGAGAGCTTCACCTTTGAGGCGGTCGGGGCTGGCCAGCAGGTCGTCTTCTGGCGCCTGGTTGTTCTGCAGGTGGGCGTCCATCACTTCTGCAAACACCCAGGAACAGGAAAATGCTCATTTACAGTTAGCGTCTTCGTTTCATCTTGAATCAGAACCAATACATGAATTTGTACAATAATATCACTTTATAATAAAATAATTACTCTGGGCTCTTTTAAAAAGTCTAGAATTTGTTACATTTACACCAGATTAAAATAATAGTCTTTTGTAAGCTTGAGCAATTAATCACATGATAAATTAAAATGAGTTTAATATTTTCCATTTTGATCCATTCTAATATTTTTTGAAGGGTAATTTTGCTTACAGAAACATCATTGTTCATTTTTGATTACGGTTTCAGCTGTGTGTGGCTCTTATTTCATTTTTATTCATTGCATTTGGTTGTTATTTTGGATACTTAAAAGTGTGGCGTGTTCCTTGCAAAATTAAAGTTTTATCGTCTTAAAGGGAGAACTTGCATCATCATGCCAATATCTTTATATGAGATGGAAATGGTATCAAAATAATTTTCTTCTTTATCACAATAATTTCTGTGACAATTTAGCAAAATTTGTCTTTTCTCTGGCATTCATGTTGCATGGTGGAACAGTAAAATAAAACCTTTGTTTTAAGACCACGCCTTTGTTTAAAGTATGGCTAAATTGAAGTTTATTATATAAAACATTTGGTATGTTAGATCCTACAATATTTCTTTAAAAAAAAAACATAAAAAGGCCATTTCAGCCTTATTTCTAACGAAGCAGGTTGACTCCTACCATCAAAGTTGGCCAGTTTGTGAATCGAAGAGCAGACGTTCTCCTTCAGCTGCTTGACGGCTGCAGAAAAAACAGAACAGAAATAAAACAAGTCTGTCGACAAGACTAAAAATATACAAAGAATTAGAAGTATTATTTTATCTTCATGCAGAAATTGTATCAAATTGCAGCATCAGTAGTTCATTAGTAGAGGAATTAACTCTGAATTCATCGGGGTGAAAACCTCAAAGGTTTGATCAGGAAGTGAGGCAGTTAGATCCTGAAGGAGCAAAGATGTACAGTCAAGCTAACCGCTTTCAGCAGAAACAATTGTTGGCTTGGTTTCTATGGCAACACCTCCCACTGTGTTTATGTTATCGCTCAGAGAGGTCAGACGCCGACATCATTTTACTGAGGAGCAAACCGATTGGCTCACGAGTCACTGCCGATCTGTAGTTGTTGTTTTCTTGCGTTAGCGATGATTAGCTCCATCACTTCGCATCAAAAACAAACAGAAAAACTGAAGCTAAAACTCCACAAACGTTTTCTGGATCATCAACAACTTCCGATGTCCCCGACTCCAACGTCTCTCTGCCCAGATTTCAAACCATTCAGAGATTTCAACAGGAGCGGTAAAAACAAATGAGGTGGATTAGCAGAGCTGATGGTGTCATCCAGGAAAACGTCTTTGTGAAATATCGTCGCTGCCGCCTGGAAATGGAGCCGTTAGCATGTCACGACGTCATGAGACTGTCATACAGCAGCAGTCTTCAGTCAGAGGCCTTTTCAGACAAGTTGCAAGCCTGACTGCTACTGGAGATTCTTCCTGCCCACAGCTTCACCATCCACAACGACTCTCTGAAGATACTTAACTGATTATGACAACATTTAGTTTCCTTTTGGGATACACCCAACTGCTAATGGCAAGTAAAAATTCCCTACAGGAAGTGGCGATTGCAACTATTAATACAAATTCACTCATTTCAATTTCCTTACAGAAACTGAACCTGGTGAAGCCAAAACTGCCGCTGGAGGAGTTCTGGGTAGAACAGATCTACAGACAGAGGTTTTTCTTTTTAACTTGAATGCAAAGGGTTTATATTTTTTGTACAGTTTCAGATCAATCCTCTCTGTGTTGATTGACTGTGTTGATCTTTCCACAAATTATCTTTTTTTTGAGTCTGCATCCTCCAGTTAATGATTAATCAATTACTAAATTAGTTGATTATTTCAATAATCAATTAATCACGATTAATCAAAAATTTATTCTACATTCTATGCAATGAAGGGTTAAGACAGTTGTCATGGCAACAAGGTGTGCCTAATACAGTGGCAAGAACAGAACAGCAGCCAAAGATAAAATGGAACAAAGATGCGTTTCTTTGCTAAAAATGAACTTCAAACTATTGGTTGAAGTCAGAGAATAAAGAAATTGAGATATATAGTTTAGGTCGCATGTTCTAATGTTTTCACTGACTAACTCCTGACTTTGGTGGACAAAGATTTTTCCCCCCCAGCTTGTTAATGTAATTTCCTGACAGGCCTGCAGGGGGCAGCAGCGTGGACATGGATGAGGACAGCAGGAAAGCATGGTGGTACTCACGCGGACACTCAATCAACTGTGGGATTCTAGTCGAGTCTTCTCCACTGTTGACATGACAGTTGTCTGACGGAAACAAGAAGAACCGACTTAACTTCGACCACTTCCACTTTGGTCTCAGAGTTTTGATTCTGCTCATCACACCCAGAAACACAAATATTTCATCTGGAGGAGAACTGATTGCTGTCATCAGCGTGGGAAAGTCAGAATACAAATCCCGCCATCTTGCTCTGGTTATGCCTCATCGTAAAATTTGATTTTCTAGTTTAAATGAGCAGAATCAAAAGCAGCTGTAGAGCTGAATGGGTTCCTAAAACCCAACGCTACACTGATTAGGAAGAGTCGCAGAGAGGACTCAGCGACAGAAAGAAAAAACAAAGATTCAAGCGGTTAAAGTATGGCAGAGCTGACGCATAAAGCTGACAGACAACAAAACAAAAGACAGAAAGACGACCGCCAGACAGGACAGAAATCAAAGCCAGAAAGAGCTGAAGTAAAACCGTCTTTTCCCAACTGTGACCTCATCAGGATGCAAACAAGGAACAACCGGGTCCGACATCATGACCACAAAGCTAACAGATCCAACACAGCTACCCTGAGGCATTATGGGAGAATCCGACTATGGAGCTTTTTTATGTCCAAATCACTATTCAAATATGAAAAACAGAAGATTTAAGGTAGCAAACGTTGAGGCTGGAGTTTTACAAGACAAACAGGCTCAATCCAAAGCTTGTAAAAGTTTTCACACCTCCGAAACTTTTCCACCACAAATCTCAGTGAATTCTGTTGGGATTTTAACCGAGAGCTTTTTGCAGCCTCTACCTGCATTTACCTCCTGGTCTCAGCTGGAGCTAACGATTCTTAAAGTAACCTATTATTCTGATGATTAATTGGATAAAAAGATTGGCACGTCTGCAGATTTTATATTTAACCACCTAAGCCTTTTTTATACATTAGAAATACATTAGAAGATCTAAATAAACAAATAATTTGATTCCTTTAAGAAAAGCACAATGTTACTGACGTTACAGGAGAATAAAGTTTTACTTGCACACATACAAAAAAAACATCCCCACAGGATGCTGCTGCCACCGTCATGTTTCAAAGAGTGGATGAAGTATTCAGGGTCATTAGCAATTTTAGAGTTTTGTTTGTTGGCTAGAAATTTAAATTTGGATGCAGAGAAAGTTCTTCTGGTGATAAAATGGATTTCTACTGGCTTTATTCCCACCAGAGATGCCTGATATATTGGCTTATTCATCGGTTTTGGTTAATGTTAGTCGTTTTTTAACAAAACATCTACATTTATTTTTTGCAAGTAAATTGTCTGCCCTGGCTTGTAAAGGTGTCATCTTTGTGTTTCTGAGGCAATTCTGACATTTTGATGCAAATCTGTTTAATTCTGTGATATTTTTGCCCAAACTGTCTCAGCGCTGCCCTTTTAGGGTTGAATGATGTCTGGTGCAGTTGAATTTTGTTGCTAACCACAGTACATCTTTACATCCATCAGCCTCTGATTTGGGTTTAAACCCGTCTCCTCAGACGCACAGCGCCGGTGGCAAGTCAGGAGCTGGACGAGTGAGACAGCGTTTATCGATGGCGCTTTTTGGCTTTGCATTTCTGATTAATTTGCAATGTGAACAAGTAGAGGAACGGGTCTCCTTTCTGCAGGACGACTGTGACACCGACTACAATGCTTAGGAAGCAGGAGGGTCAGACTCTGCAGAGCAAAGTAAAGAGGGTCTGAACATTAAACCATGTTGAGCTTTTGTGCTACTTTTGAGTCGTTTTATCACCTAAAATCACAATAAAACCCTCTGAGGTTTGTAGTTCAAGAGGTTGTGAATACTTTCACAAGTCACTGTGTGCGTGTGTTTTAAACAGAAACTAAATATTCGGTTGTGAGAATGTTAATAGTTTCAAGCGATTGAGAACAGAAGGCAGAAGTGGAAGAAACAAACAAAAGGCAGAAGAAACGAATGAAGTGGTGAATTCATTTTATGCTACAAGTAAAGCTGTAATGCTACAAGTAAAGTAATTATAGGTGTATCAATCAGACATTGGTCACCATATTGGCTTATTCGTTTATGTTTTACTTCTGAGAGCTGTTAAAGTCTCAATCAAAACAGACGTTTTGTTATTATGATAATTAATCTACCATCGTTCTCTCCATCTTCACCAACTGCACCATCATCGGTGTCTGTTTCCGCCTCATCTTCGTCCCGTTTCGCAGAGGTCTGCAGGCTCTGTTTGACTTCCACAGGCTCCTCTACCGATCCGGGGCAGACATCTGTCATGTGACCAGATCAGATATATAGACCGTTTTGTCCAAGGTTTACCAGCCACACACATGCACAGAGAACAGTTTAAAAATCAGGGCAGGCTCCTTCAGCAGAGTGGCTACTGTGTGCAAAGTGTGCAGTGAGGCAAGTCGCCTGCAGGGCTCACAGGACAGTGTCGTCATTCAATCACCAGAAGTCAATCAGTGACCGAAAGCTTCTTTTAACCCACAGGAAGGAAAAACAAAGCCGTGGACAGTTTGGAAACCGTAGGGAAAAACCAACAACCCAGATTATCCAAGAAGCTCAGTTTGGATCTGACAGAGTGCCAACATGCCCCCTGAGACAAGCTGCCTCAGAAACAAAACACCCAGCAGTTACTTGCATCATCACAAATCAGATTCACAGCCTCCTGTCGTGATCCACGAGGATTACAGCACCGGCTGCTGCACAACAAACTTCCTCAAATCCTCTAATCTCAGACCTTTTAAAGGAAAACTAAATTTAATCTCTTAGGAGAGGGATTCTCAGATTATTAACTGAATTAATGACGAAAGCCTGGCAACTTTTACATCTATGCAAAAAGTGTTTGCAAAAAGGCAAAAAAAAAAAAAAAAGGTTTTTTTGCCTTTTTGCAAACACTTTTTGCTGGACAATAATAATCTATATAAACAAACTATTTCTGCTGTTTTTTCACAAAGTCAGATTTCTGTAGAAAAGGGATCAATAAATCTTGACAGATCTGGAACAAAAAGGATCTCTCTTGTTTTCTGTCTTAAAGACAAGAAAAACTGGAAAAAATGCCTGAAACTCTTAAGCTTGGCAGTTTTCTATTAACTTTGACTTGATATCTTTTGTGTATTTTCAGCAACAAAAACATTGATTCTTGTTTCAAAAGCATTTTCTCAACAGAAGAATAATAGTTGGTGGTGTAACTTACATTTGCACTAGTTTTCATAACTAAATAAAAATATAATCCAGATCAGCCATCTGGGCTGATAAACCAGTTTTGTGGAAATGTGATCCAGCGGCCGGACTGGAATCAGTCCAAGGGCTGCAAATGGCCCCGGGACCGCACTTTGGACACCCAGTGGAAGGTTATTTTGGAACCATTCAAAAATGTGCCGTTAATTAAATGCACTTTATGAGGATGTATATGAAGGGTTTACCAAAATATGGCGATGTTTTCTTTCCTATTTTTCAAACTTTGCGGTTGAGTTAATTTATCATTTCATCTCCCGGAGCCAGGCAGGTTTGGAGATATTTGTTTCCTTTAATGATGAAAATCATTTGAAAACAGCTTTTTAAAATAACGAAATATTACTGTCTGATATTAAAATTTGTTTTAGGATTTTAAAAAAGTTAAAAATGAACAAAAATGAAGCAAATGTTTAATTGGAGCACTGTGAGGAGCTAACCTTTCTGTCTTAAGAACCAGGAAGTTAACATCAGATAATATTTTTTTAATTGAAACTGCTAGAAACGCTTCATCTGAACACATTCAACGTTTTACAACCTGAAGTCGAAACAACTCAACATGTCAGCCCCCAACAGACCAGAGGACGCACGAAGCTTGAACCCAAATGAACACAATGAAAACTGAAGAAAAGCCAGATTTCCACCACAGCAGACAGATGAACAGAGCAACAGAAAAGAAAAACAAGTCATGCAGGAAGCCGCCATGCATCATTAGTGCAGGATGAAGAAGAGAAGCAGACGGACGGTGAAGAAGAGAGGACACGTTGTCCCCAGAGCCAGACGGAGACTCACCAATACTGTTGCTTTTCTCCTGCAGCTGTTCTAACCGCACTGCAAACAACAACAACAGCAGCAGCAGAGAAAAGAGTTGAGCAACAGAACCTCACAGCGCTGCTGCTGGTGGATTTAAAGTTTAATGAATGTCTTTATGTTTGACATCAGAGCATTTAGTTCCTTTATGGAGAGAAACGCGTCAGATTTCACATGAAAGACTCGATTAAAAACAAACGTTATAGTTACAGCTTTAATTCACAGTAAGAGTCAACCGAATGAGTCTGACATAAGTATTCACACCCCTCTTTCATAATAAAACCACAAAATATTTAATGTTACACCCTGACACCAAGTGGGATCTAAAAGCAAAATATTTTCCAGGATGAAAATTAATTTAATAAATATATGAATTATTAAACTATGTAAATAAAATGATGAAATAAATAAAAACAGAAAATAAACTATAAATTAAACTAAAATAGGTACAAATATAAAATAAATATAAAATAAATAAAAACCAAAACACATAAAAATATAAAATAAATAAAACAAAAATAATAAAAAAAAAATAAAATAAAATAGACAAAAAAAAAATATATGTGTAAAATAAATAAATGGAGTTATTGCTTTGCAGAACCAAATTTTGCTGCAGTCCCAGCCAGTGTTGTAGTACTCAAGGTCGGTCTTGGTCTCGAGACCATTTTTTGATGGTCTCAGTCTCGTCTCGGATTCGACCACATTTGGTCTCGGTCTTGTCTCGGGCGCTGAGGACTCGGCATTTTATTTCAAGACCAGTTAAGACCGCAACTGTGAAAATATCACTAAACGTACAGCATACTGTCCAGTTTATTTGTTAACATGTTTGTTTCCAGTGGATGCAAAACGCACCGATTAAAATCCAAGCAATTACCTGTTTCTATTACTCCCCTCCCCACCTTTCACTCGCACGCAGAGCTCCAAGACATGCGCAGTGGTTTCCTCTGAGCGGCAGAAGGTATCCATCTAATTGCCAGTAATAGAATAGCGCTGCATAAATCATAAAAAATCCTATGGCTACAGCTAACTCAGCAGCGCTTCGCTTTCACAGACGGTGGAGACAACGTCTAACTATTTTCGTCACTTAGAAAAGTAGCTCAAAGAAAGGTAAGCTCCGTTGACGTGATGTTAGCAAAGCTAGCTGTACAGAGACACATAAGTATTTGTGATGAAAAAAAGTTCTCACTCACTGCACTTAATTATTGTGCAGAGGTGTTGACTGACTTGTCGCAGATATGGGACAACGCTGTGTCCAAAAGTGCAATATAGTGATGTGGCATTCAGGAACAGTTCGATTCTTCTGAACGGCTCTTTACTTAGAAAATAGGACTGGAGGGTCACTGGGAGCCGTTCTTTGTTCTTGTAATGCTTTGGGTACACTGCAGTAGCTATCATTATTTTATGNCACAAAAATTTTTGAAATGTGGGTTGTTGGGGGGGAGCTGGGGAAAAAACAGGAAAATTTTCCAAAAAAAAAAAAAAAAAAAAAAGACTATCATCCTCCTACTAACCTCCCGACCCCACTAAGGGACAAGAGTGTACAGAAAATAGATGGATGGATCCTCCTACTACTTCCTGTCATTTTGGTGTTGTTTTTGCCAGTGGCAACATAAGGCTGTTGATAAATTGACTCATATAATACAACAAAAGTTTTCCATTGCAGTTCTGCAAGATACAACTATTTCAATACAGCCAAAAAACCATCTTACCGTAAAACAAAAACTATTGAAAAACATGAGCTTTTTCAAACTCTGCGTGCTTCCATTAAGTATATTTATTTTCATAATTACAGTTTGTGCAATTTCCTGGATAATAGAAATGCAGCTACTGTTGAATGCTGTGATAAGTGCTTGTAAAACTATCTCTCCATCGTTGCACACCACTTCTGCCTTTTCTAGACATGCTAGCTTTTTCAAGTTTACTCAAAATTGAGGCAGAGTTGTTTTGAAATTGTTGAAAAAAAGTAAGTGAACCCAAGATCCTATTCTGCTTTTTACCAAATTTTTTGCCCCGTCCGTGTTGTAAAACTAACAGAAATGCACCTCCAGTCACAGGTCTTCCAATCTTTAGTGTTGTAACAGCAAGAGGTTATTCAGCTTCGTTTTTTCTCTGTAAGGAAGTTTCATTGTTATCCTCAAGTGTTCTTCTGTTGTGACCCTGATTGACACAGCTCCATGAATGCAAAAAATGTGCTCGTCAAGAGTCACAAATTCTAAAAAAAACAACAAAAAACCCCTTAAAAATAATCAGCATAAATAAAAAAAGGGAAAGTCAGTATTTCCTTTAAAATATATAAATAAATACCTAGTTTTGTTTCTTTAAAACGGCATCAGAATTTTTTTAGTAAGAAATGTGGCTGCTTTTGATTGGATCACTTGGCACACTAATCATGCCAAAAAGCTGTGTGTAGTGATATGTATGGCATATAAAACATTGCCTCTTGGTTTAGCTGGTGATAATGATATCCCTGTGTCTTACTGGGCACACACTCTGTCTGTATGAGCAGTCTTAAATAAATATATACACAATTTCTGCAGCAGAAAGGAGTGGAAGCAGGGTCGATGTGAAGACTTCAGTGGTTTATGAGCCGCTCTTCTGCTCCCATTCCTGTGAAACAAAAGCACACTCTATAACAATTTGGAAGCATTGTTTTGTATGTGTTTGAGTTTCAGTCAAGTATCTGTGAAGAACAAAAAAAAAAAACAGATTCTATACTTTTATACAGTCCTGACCTGTTACAAGATAATCAATCTCCCATGTTAGTTTTACTTGATCAGTGTATTTATGACCCTTGTACTATTTCCACATTGAATCAAATTAAAACCAAAAACTTCAGTTGTATTTACTAGGATTATATAGGATAGACCTTCACAGATATCAATCTGTGAAGAAAAAAAACTAAATACATAGATGGCGACTGATGTTAATTGTTTCTTGTTAAAAGCCTGATCTATGGTTGACACTTCTGCGAGGCCTGTCTGACATTTTGTAACGCTGCCTATAGTTTCATGTGGAAAAATATGGTGGATGAGCAAGAGCTCCGCCTAGCAGAGGTTGGCAAAGACGGGCGTCTTCATGACTCGGCCCATAAAGTGTATGCAGCCATACGACGTTCAGCCATGCTTTTGGCATGGCTGAATTCTGCTGAAAAGTAGAATTCAGCAGAATAACTCTGATGCAAAGGTACAATTGAAGATCCAACCTGCAGGTCCAGAGAAAACTGAAAAGCTTGGAAATTCCAACTCTGTTTTCGGCTTTTAATTGCTTCAAATGTTTGAGGGCTTTATTATCTTGGGTATCATTAATGTACTAATGGACATCATGTGGTGTCTGAAGTCAAACTGTTTTGTTCTGAATTTGGGCATTTAGTTATTTCTCTAATTCAGTTTTTTTCTAAAGCCCAGTGGAAAGTCCGATCAAGGTGTGCAGATTTTTTGTCTGTCTGGGAAAAAGTTAAATGTTTGTACAAAAAAACAAATATCATTACGTCATAGACCAGCTTTGTGATGATGATGATGTATATCAACAGTATCACTTATTATATACCCAGCATTATATACTGGATTATTATATAAGAGGATTATTATATACTCCTTTGCTCTGGTGGGCAAAGTTCATATGTGCATTAAAGGTAAATTTAATCAAAGCTTACTGTATGTCCCTGTATACAGTCCCTTTGTGGTGGAAATTTCAAAAAGCAATAGCATGCAGAAGTTTAAAGTTGCTTATGACTCCATGAGAATTCTGCTTAAGAAATCCAGGTTCAGTAGTGCAAGTGAGACATTTTGTAACGCACATCAGGACTTTCCAGGCACTCTTGAGAAATTTGATATATAAGTTTGTGTTGTTTGTGCAGCTCCAAGAATAGTTTTTTTGTAATGTTGTCACGTCCTTCTGTCTGTGCACTACAACACCAGTCATCTTTGTGGAAACACTGATATGAAACTCTTTTTGTGTTATGTATCATGTCTGTTCTATTTTATGTCTATGTGGACAATGTGTCTATATAGTCTGAATCTATATATGTGTGTGCGCACATGCGTGTATGCGTGCATGTGCATTATATATAAGTGAAAGTAGACATAAATAATAACATGACGTAATTAGCTTGGTTAATTATTTCTTTTGGCCCATTGTTACAAATAGCATTTCTGGTGTCATGGACAGGTCTGTAAAGTGGGGAATTTTAAGTACTTCAGGTTACTCTATGGTGCTTATTCCATTATTTTTCCTCAAACCAAATAGTTTGAGGGAAAACTATTTCCCCAAATTACCGCTGAAGGTACAGTAAGATGAGCAGTCACATGAGTCAGCAGAGTGAACTCTGACCTTGGCCTTCCTCAGCACATGTCCTCTGACTGTCGATGGCTTCTGGCTACTTTGCTGCCGGCGCAGTAACGATGCGCTGTTGACTGGCAGTGTACAGGACTCTGTGTCGCTGGTGTCGCAGCTGGAGAAGGGAGAGGACTCCTGTGTTTTCCGCAGCATGGCTGGAGACTGTTAAGGGGAGAAAAACAGAAAATTAGGCTGCCACCTCGGCCAACCGTCGGTGAAGAAACAGAGGTGGAGTTCCAACCTGCAGGTCTGAGGAGGCAGCTTTGGGTTCAATAGTGAGACCCAGGGTCACTCCTCCACTCAGGGCTTTCTTCAGACTCTCCTTGACCTCAGTTGCCTCCAGCTCCACATTCACTCTCTCTTCCTCCTTCAGCTTGCACTCGTCTTCCACCTTCTTCAAGCGCTCCAGCAGAGATGCCTGTGAACGTTTGCCTGGAGTTTCCGGGAAAAATAATTACTAGTTTTGGAAAATCCAGCTAAAATGAGGCTTCTTCTTGGCTGATGTCCTACCTGCAGCACCCTCCACAACAGTGCGCAGGTCTCTCCTCTCCTTCTTCAACTGGTTCAGATGGTTCCTGATCTCCTGTTTCTTTTTCATAAGCTCCTCCTCTTTGGCCTGCAGCCGCTTGGCATCTGCCTCGACACGGTTCTTGCCATACTTGCACTGCTCTGCATCTGCACAACAA